TTTACAAACATTCATATACCTTTACAAACATCAGTGTAACTTTACAAACATCAGTGTAACTTTAAAAACATCTGTATGCCTTTACAAACATCAGTGTAACTTTACAAACATATGCATACCTTTACAAACGTCAGTGTAACTTTACAAACATCCATATAACTTTACAAACAGTGTTACTTTACGAACATCAGTGTTACTTTAGAAACATCGTGTAACTTTACAAACATCTGTATACCTTTACAAATATCAGTGTAACTTTACAAACATCTGTAAACCTTTACAAACATCAGTGTAACTTTACAAACATCTGTATACCTTTACAAACATCAGTGAAACTTTACAAATATCAGTGTAACTTTAACATCCATGTACCTTTACAAACATCCATATAACTTTACAAACATCAGTGTTACTTTACAAACATCAGTGTTACTTTACAAACATCCGTGTAACTTTACAAACATCAGTGTTACTTTACAAACATCCGTGTAACTTTACAAACATCCATATAACTTTACAAACATCAGTGTTACTTTACAAACATCAGTGTTACTTTACAAACATCCGTGTAACTTTACAAACATCTGTATACCTTTACAAACATTAGTGTAACTTAACAAACATCTGTATACCTTTACAAACATCAGTGTAACTTAACAAACATCTGTATACCTTTACAAACATCAGTGTACCTTTACAAACATCAGTATACCTTTACAAACATCAGTGTAACTTTACAAACATGTGTATACCTTTACAAACATCAGTGTACCTTTACAAACATCCATATACCTTTACAAACATCAGTGTAACTTTACAAACATGTGTATACCTTTACAAACATCAGTATACCTTTACAAACATCAGTGTAACTTTACAAACATCAGTGTAACTTTACAAACATCTGTGTAACTTTACAAACATCTGTATACCTTTACAAACATCAGTGTAACTTTACAAACATCAGTGTAACTTTACAAACATCCATATACCTTTACAAACACCAGTGTAACTTTACAAACATCAGTATAACTTTACAAACATCCATATACCTTTACAAACATCAGTGTAACTTTACAAACATCAGCGTTACTTTAGAAACATCCATATACCTTTACAAACATCTGTATACCTTTACAAACATCAGTGTAACTTTACAAACATCAGTGTAACTTTACAAACATCCATATACCTTTACAAACATCTGTATACCTTTACAAACATCAGTGTAACTTTACAAACATCAGTGTAACTTTACAAACATCCATATACCTTTACAAACACCAGTGTAACTTTACAAACATCAGTATAACTTTACAAACATCCATATACCTTTACAAACATCAGTGTAACTTTACAAACATCAGCGTTACTTTAGAAACATCCATATACCTTTACAAACATCTGTATACCTTTACAAACATCAGTGTAACTTTACAAACATCAGTGTAACTTTACAAACATCCATATACCTTTACAAACACCAGTGTAACTTTACAAACATCAGTGTAACTTTACAAACATCAGCGTTACTTTAGAAACATCCATATACCTTTACAAACATCTGTATACCTTTACAAACATCAGTGTAACTTTACAAACATCAGTGTAACTTTACAAACATCCATATACCTTTACAAACACCAGTGTAACTTTACAAACATCAGTATAACTTTACAAACATCCATATACCTTTACAAACATCAGTGTAACTTTACAAACATCAGCGTTACTTTAGAAACATCCATATACCTTTACAAACATCTGTATACCTTTACAAACATCAGTGTAACTTTACAAACATCAGTGTAACTTTACAAACATCCATATACCTTTACAAACACCAGTGTAACTTTACAAACATCAGTATAACTTTACAAACATCTGTATACCTTTACAAACGTCAGTGTAACTTTACAAACATCAGTATACCTTTATAAACATCCATGTTACTTTACAAACATCCATATACCTTTACAAACATCAGTGTAACTTTACAAACATCAGTGTTACTTTATAAACATCTGTATACCTTTACAAACATCAGTGTCACTTTACAAACATCCATATACCTTTACAAACATCAGTGTAACTTTACAAACATCAGTGTTACTTTACAAACATCCATATACCTTTACAAACATCCGTGTAACTTTACAAACATCTGTATACCTTTAGCAGGTTGACAGGAGAGGTAATTTAGAGGAGGGACAAATAAGCAGAAAACATTTCTCTGATTCAAAGTTTTGAGCCTTTTAATAAACAATCTCACCTGCCTGCAGACTCCGCATTCCGTTGGTCACCTGGTCACAGACAGACAGACAGACAGACAGACACACACACACACACACAGTGTTGTTAGTTCTTTGAAAGATTACATTTAAGCCGTAATGTTTTTGAGTGTTTACCTTTATCAGAGGAGTGAGACATCCTGGCTCTGACTGACGATCTGAAAAACAATCATCAATAGAAAATATTCATTGTACAGTTTCAAAGTTAGATTATTAGCATATTAAAGCTCATTATCCTTTAATGGTGTAGGGTGTACCTGTAACTGACTGTGTGTACCTGTAACTGACTGTGTTTACCTGTAACTTACTGTGTTTACCTGTAACTGACTGTGTTTACCTGTAACTGACTGTGTTTACCTGTAACTGACTGTGTGTACCTGTAACTGACTGTGTTTACCTGTAACTTACTGTGTGTACCTGTAACTGACTGTGTGTACCTGTAACTGACTGTGTGTACCTGTAACTGTGTTTACCTGTAACTGACTGTGTGTACCTGTAACTGACTGTGTGTACCTGTAACTGACTGTGTGTACCTGTAACTGACTGTGTGTACCTGTAACTGTGTTTACCTGTAACTGACTGTGTTTACCTGTAACTGACTGTGTGTACCTGTAACTGACTGTGTGTACCTGTAACTGACTGTGTTTACCTGTAACTGACTGTGTTTACCTGTAACTGACTGTGTGTACCTGTAACTGACTGTGTGTACCTGTAACTGTGTGTACCTGTAACTGTGTTTACCTGTAACTGACTGTGTTTACCTGTAACTGACTGAGTGTACCTGTAACTGACTGTGTGTACCTGTAATGTTTACCTCACCTGAACGTGTAGTCAGTGACTCATCTGTCCAATCAGAGAGCTCCATGCTGTGAGAGTTTCAGATGGTTCCATCAGCCTGAAGGGAAACAGGTTTTTAATTATTCTAAAATAAATAAAAACAAAAGTTGATGTTAGAATCAGAAAGTGAGCACGAGGATTAAACTTTATACCAACAAGTGTCAACATTAAAAAAAACATTAAAAACATCATTAAAGAATGTTTGTTTTTATGGAGTCTGAACTTCCTGTCTCTCTGACTTCGACCAATCAGAGCGCAGCTGTAAGCGTCCTGTGATTGGCTGAGATTAGTTACCTATGTGAAGCTAACAAGCTGCGGCGCTACCTTGCTCAGGTTAGACCCGGTTCGTTAAGGTCCCGGTCGAACCGGACTCTCGGTATCCATGGAGACGACGATGACGTGTCAGCCGTTAGGCTGCAGTCGGCTAGCTGCTAACATGTTAGCATATGAAACCATCAGCCGTGAAACACTGAAGCTTATTGGCTGCTTCAGGTGAATTACGTAAATAATAAATAATCACTTCCTACCTGAACAGCTGGATAACCAGCAGCTGTTTGTTTACTTTCACTCCGATTAAAATCCTCTTCCGCCGCGCGCTGCTCCGCCACGCTGTTTAGTTTCCGGTTACAGTCTTCTTCTACGACATAAAGTCCGGCAGAGAGGCAGTAAAATAATGCTGCCGCTTGTGAGTGAGGGGAGGTACTACACATGCCAGCTTTTTCACACACACACACACACACCTCTGAGATATAAAGTCCAAATGTTATTTATACACACTCTGAAGAGTGCCCTGATGACACACTGAAAGGCTCTCACCTGTGGAGAGTGCCCTGATGACACACTGAAAGGCTCTCACCTGTGGAGAGTGCCCTGATGACACACTGAAAGCTCTCACCTGTGGAGAGTGCCCTGATGACACACTGAAAGGCTCTCACCTGTGGAGAGTGCCCTGATGACACACTGAAAGGCTCTCACCTGTGGAGAGTGCCCTGATGACACACTGAAAGGCTCTCACCTGTGAAGAGTGCCCTGATGACACACTGACAGACTCTCACCTGTGGAGAGTGCCCTGATGACACACTGACAGACTCTCACCTGTGGAGAGTGCCCTGATGACACACTGACAGACTCTCACCTGTGGAGAGTGCCCTGATGACACACTGACAGACTCTCACCTGTGGAGAGTGCCCTGATGACACACTGACAGACTCTCACCTGTGGAGAGTGCCCTGATGACACACTGACAGCTCACCTGTGGAGAGTGCCCTGATGACACACTGACAGACTCTCACCTGTGGAGAGTGCCCTGATGACACACTCTCACCTGTGGAGAGTGCCCTGATGACACACTGACAGACTCTCACCTGTGGAGAGTGCCCTGATGACACACTGACAGACTCTCACCTGTGGAGAGTGCCCTGATGACACACTGACAGGCTCTCACCTGTGGAGAGTGCCCTGATGACACACTGACAGACTCTCACCTGTGGAGAGTGCCCTGATGACACACTCTCACCTGTGGAGAGTGCCCTGATGACACACTGACACTCTCACCTGTGGAGAGTGCCCTGATGACACACTGACAGACTCTCACCTGTGGAGAGTGCCCTGATGACACACTGACAGACTCTCACCTGTGGAGAGTGCCCTGATGACACACTGACAGACTCTCACCTGTGGAGAGTGCCCTGATGACACAGACAGACTCTCACCTGTGGAGAGTGCCCTGATGACAGACTGACAGACTCTCACCTGTGGAGAGTGCCCTGATGACACACTGACACTCTCACCTGTGGAGAGTGCCCTGATGACACTGACACTCACCTGTGTCCTCAGTGACACCTACATGGTTCTAAAGAAAAAAAATAACAATTTGTTTTTTGTGCAGGTATTTTATTGAACACGTTTTTGTTTTCAGATTTTGTTGAAAGCAGCGACATCCATCGACTGAACGAAGTCTTCGAACGCTGTGATCTGCTCCTCCAGGATGTCTGTGCCCACCTGGAACCACACAGGTGAATAAAACACAGGTGAATTAAACACAGGTGAATTAAACACAGGTGAATTAAACACACAGGTGAATTAAAGTCCTGTTAACAGGTAAACTGTTCTTCACCTTGTCGTCTTCGACCACACAGCTGATCTGCAGCTTCTTGATGCCGTAACCCACGGGGACGAATTTAGCTGTAGAGGAAACAATCAGATTACTACACCTGTAATCAGACTACCATACCTGTAATCAGACTACTACACCTGTAATCAGATTACCATACCTGTAATCAGACTACTACACCTGTAATCAGATTACTACACCTGTAATCAGACTACCATACCTGTAATCAGATTACTACACCTGTAATCAGACTACTACACCTGTAATCAGACTACCATACCTGTAATCAGATTACTACACCTGTAATCAGATTACTACACCTGTAATCAGATTACTTTAGAGTTCAGATCTTGACGTTTCATCTCGTTTCAGTTGAAAGATGGTGATTTGAGATCATCACAACTCTGCAGATTAATCTGACGACTGACGGAGCCGCCAAACTCAGACCGTCAAGATACAGCGCCCCCTACAGGTGTGCAGTGTGTGTGTGTGTAGCAGTGTTGTGTGTGTGTGTGTGTGTAGCAGTGTTGTGTGTGTGTGTGTGTGTAGCAGTGTTGTGTTTGTGTGTAGCAGTGTTGTGTGTGTGTAGCAGTGTTGTGTGTGTGTGTGTGTGTGTGTGTGTGTGTGCGTGTAGCAGTGTTGTGTGTGTTTGTGTGTGTAGCAGTGTTGTGTGTATGTGTAGCAGTGTTGTGTGTGTGTGTAGCAGTGTTGGTGGTGTGTGTGTGTGTGTGTGTGTGGTGTGTGTGTGTAGCAGTGTTGTGTGTGTGTGTGTCACTCTTACACTGTCCCCACACCAGCCCGTCCATCTGAATGCTGCGCACACACTCCTCCAGCTTCGCCATGTCTGTCTCGTCATCCCACGGCTTTACGTCCAATAGGATTGAAGATTTGGCTATGAGGGCGGGCTCTGAGGGGAGAGGGCGGAGTCAGTAACCATCAGTGTATTAAAGCACAAAGTGACTGGCAGCAGGAGACTCTTTCAGGTAAACTCATGGTGTCCATCAGGAAGTCAGACGAAAGATGGTGATTGGTTAATCATCATAAAGAGTCAGCCAATCAGGAGGCAGGATTCCGTGTCCTCAAGTCAATGAATAATTAATGCATCAATAACAAATTAAGTGTGTGGACGTACTTTTAGACTTGCGAGCAGCGTACTCCGCTAAACGTTCCTCCTTCAGCCTCGCCGCCTCGGCGTCCTCCTGCAACACAACGATGAGAGACACTGGTGACATCACTGTGACACTGCAGTGACATCACAGCCACACCGCAGTGACCTCACCTCGTCATCAGAGCCAAACAGGTCCATGTCGTCATCATCATCATCTTCCTTTGAGGCGGGGGCGGGGCCAGAGGTGGAGTCAGCCACACCTGCAGGGCCATACTGACCCAGTGGCTTCTTCACACCTGGAAGACTAACAGGCAGAGGCGGGACTTACTCCACTGATCTTACACACCTGTGTATCAACACCCTGCCGACATCACCCAGGCTCACCTGCTCTTCTGACTCTGGTAAGACTTGATGTGATTGTACCAGCGCAGGGCGTGGCACAGGTCAGCCGAGGGCGGGGCTGAGATCGCATCAAAGACCGCCACGTCAGCCTGAGAGGGGACGTACCTTAGGACAAAAAACAAACACCTTTCAAATGACTGCACAAAACAACAGCTTTCAAAATAAAATCCTAAAAACAAAACAACAGCTTTCAAAATAAAATCCTAAAAATCAAAGTCGTTTAAAATAGTAATTTAATGTTGAACATCTGACCACAGTAATCAGATTACTACACCTGTAATCAGATTACTACACCTGTAATCAGATTACTACACCTGTAATCAGATTACTTTAGAGTTCAGATCTTAACATTTCATCTCGTATCAGTTGAAAGATGGTGATTTGAGATCATCACAACTCTTTAATAGGGTTAGTTAAGGGTTAGTAAAGTGTTAGTTAAGGATTAGTTTAGGGTTAGTAAAGGTTAGTTAAGGGTTAGTAAAGTGTTAGTTAAGGGTTAGTTAGGGGTTAGTAAAGGATTAGTTTAGGATTAGTTTAGGGTTAGTAAAGGTTAGTTAAGGATTAGTAAAGGTTAGTTAAGGGTTAGTTAAGGGTTAGTAAAGTGTTAGTTAAGGGTTAGTTAGGGGTTAGTAAAGGATTAGTTTAGGATTAGTTTAGGGTTAGTAAAGGTTAGTTAAGGATTAGTAAAGGTTAGTTAAGGGTTAGTAAAGGTTAGTTAAGGGTTAGTTAAGGGTTAGTTAAGGGTTAGTTAAGGGTTTAACCAATCACGCGTCATTTAGCCACATGGGCACAGTTAGCATGTTAGCACCATGTTAGCACCATGTGAATGGGTTTGAACACGGAACTTCTTCCGCACAAACTTTCACTGAAACAAACGTGAATGGACCCTGAAGACTTCAGGTGTGTGCTTCCACTAAACACAGGTTGACATGCGCACTGTTAACGTTTTATTTTGTTTATTTTCACCTTCAAACTCTGCTGCGCCGGCAGCCTGTTAGCTAGCCGTTAGCCACATGTAGCTCAACAAGGAGCCAAGATGGCGGCACCCGCAGCTGCTGGACTTAGCGTAACAGTTTGTCCCGTCACTACCGTCAATATACCGTCAACATACCGTGAATATACCGTTAAAGTACCGTAAACACTCACCCCTCGATGTAGCTGCGCTCCGACAGGAAGTCATTGAGCACTTTGAGGCCGGAGGCGGATTTCAGGTCACCGAAGCCCATGATGAAGAAGGACCGACGAGGAGGACGAAGAAGAAGGAGGGAGGAGGCGGGAAGAGTCAGCTTTATACCCGGAGACAGACCCCTCCTCACGGACACCGCTCCTCCTCCTCCACGCTGCCCTGAAGGAGGTAAAGATCAATAACGTCTGAATTATGTGTTGGTAATTATAATGATCATTTGTATTATTATTATTATTATTATTATTATTATTATTATTATTATTATTATTAATATGATTATTATTATTATTATTATGATTATTATTATTATTATTATTATTATTATTATTAATATGATTATTATTATTATTATTATTATTATTATTATTATTATTATTATTATTATTAATATGATTATTATTATTATTAATATGATTATTATTATTATTATTATTATTATTATTAATATGATTATTATTATTATTATTATTATTATTAATGTTTTTCTGTTGTTAAACTTTAATATACGTGAATATAAAGTAACGACTGTTTTAGTCCAGTGAAGATAACAGAACAGGTAAATATGTAAATCATCAGACAACACAAAGTCTGTTTGAGTTTCATCTGAACAGGTGTTTCCTCCTTTTCTCTGTACAGGTGTGACTTTTCTCTGTACAGGTGTTTCTTCTTCTCTGTACAGGTGTTTCTTCTTCTCTGTACAGGTGTTTCCTCCTTCTTTTCTCTGTACAGGTGTGACTTTTCTCTGTACAGGTGTTTCTTCTTCTCTGTACAGGTGTTTCTTCTTCTCTGTACAGGTGTTTCTTCTCTGTACAGGTGTTTCCTCCTCCTTTTCTCTGTACAGGTGTTTCCTCCTTCTTTTCTCTGTACAGGTGTGACTTTTCTCTGTACAGGTGTTTCTTCTTCTCTGTACAGGTGTTTCTTCTCTGTACAGGTGTTTCCTCCTCCTTTTCTCTGTACAGGTGTTTCCTCCTTCTTTTCTCTGTACAGGTGTGACTTTTCTCTGTACAGGTGTTTCTTCTTCTCTGTACAGGTGTTTCTTCTTCTCTGTACAGGTGTTTCTTCTTCTCTGTACAGGTGTGTCTCTTCTCTGTACAGGTGTTTCCTCTTTTTCTTGAAAGGTTTTTTCCACTTACACAAAAATGCTGTCCGACCTGTTACACAGTCACATGCTCTGATTGGACCCTGTTCTCCTATTGGTTGACAGTCTGAATGACCCTGAACACACCTGAAAGATGTTAGACAGGTGAGTTTCAGTCGACACAGAACAGGAATGAGTGAAGGAGGATACTAGCTTTGGACTGACGCAGAGGAAAGAAGTATCTTCAGGACGATGGGTCAGGCTCACAGCTCCTCTCCTCAGGTACTCACCTGGCTGACAGGTATTTTCCATGTCTCACCTGTGTACTGTCTTGAGCTGAAAGTACTTTACATGCTGTGTGCTTTTATTTTGAAATAAAGTAATGCCCTTCCTGTAGATGGAAGGTTAGGGCAAGAAGTTAAACACAGAAACAGGAAGTGGTTAGGGATCCCAAAGGTCAATGTGTGATGTCATAATGTCAGTGTGTGATGTCATAAGGTGGATATTACATTCTGAGAGTTTGTTAAAGTGAAATGAGACATTCAAAGATGCAGCAGTGAGACTACAGGGAGACACTGAGGACGAGTATCTACGGAGAGCCTGAAGGGACAAACAGGAGAGTAATGTGACTAACTCTTTAAAGAGTCCATAATCTGCCCTTTTTGGGGTTCTTATATTTAATCTATGTTCCTACTTTTGTACGTTCACAATAGATAAAGTCTGAAAAAAGTGTCTGTTTTCATGAACTGCTCCTCCTTGCTCCCTCTCTGCACTGAGTCCGTCAGCTACACTCTGTTGAGCCCACACTGTTAGATCCCACGTGGGCCAAGTCTGCTCTGATTGGTCTGCCAATCCGCTCTGTCGTTATTGGTCAGTTACTCAGCACGCGTCTCGGAAATTTCAACATGAGCTGCAGGGCCACAACGAGCCAATGGGCTTAGATCAGTGATCTCACACTGACAATGACACTGACAAGTTTTTATCGAGGGGGGCTGGAACCGAGCGTTACATGCAGCTAATGCTACAGCTAACAGGAGGACGTAGGAAAAGACGCATTTCCGCGGACTTTGAATTTTTGCACATAGATGTGACTAAACATGCACAGGACACTTAGAAAACACACTGAAGACCAGATAAAACCAGAAGAAGAATTTGGGACCTTTAATGCTGACGGCTCTGATATAAATAAATGATACAGTATACTGTGTGTGTGTGTGTGTGTGTGTGTGTGTGTGTGTGTGTGTGTGTGTGTGTGTGTGTGTGTGTGTGTGTGTGTGTAGGTGATACTGATGGGTTTGGACTCTGCTGGGAAGTCGACCCTGCTCGCTCGACTGCTGACAGGACAGGTAAGAAAATCAATATGAGGTACAGGTGTGTCAGGTGTGATTGTCTCAGGTGTGATTGTGTTCTCTGATCACTTCAGGAGATGGAAACATCTCCAACCATCGGATTCAACGTAGGAACTTTGGACCTGGACAAGAAGACATCTTTGACAGTGTGGGACGTCGGAGGACAGAAGAGCATGAGACCAAACTGGAGGCATGCATTCTTCACCACACACACACACACACACACACACACACACACACACACACACACACACACACACACAATGGAGAGGTTCACTACAGCTGAGTGTTGATCATGGAGGTTCACTACAGCTGAGTGTTGATCATGGAGGTTCACTACAGCTGAGTGTTGATCATGGAGGTTCACTACAGCTGAGTGTTGATCATGGAGGTTCACTACAGCTGAGTGTTGATCATAGAGGTTCACTACAGCTGAGTGTTGATCATGGAGAGGTTCACTACAGCTGAGTGTTGATCATGGAGGTTCACTGCAGATGAGTGTTGATCATAGAGGTTCACTACAGCTGAGTGTTGATCATGGAGGTTCACTACAGCTGAGTGTTGATCATGGAGGTTCACTACAGCTGAGTGTTGATCATGGAGAGGTTCACTACAGCTGAGTGTTGATCATGGAGAGGTTCACTACAGCTGAGTGTTGATCATAGAGGTTCACTACAGCTGAGTGTTGATCAGAGAGGTTCACTACAGCTGAGTGTTGATCAGAGAGGTTCACTACAGCTGAGTGTTGATCGTAGAGGTTCACTACAGCTGAGTGTTGATCGTAGAGGTTCACTGCAGCTGAGTGTTGATCATAGAGGTTCACTGCAGATGAGTGTTGATCATGGAGAGGTTCACTACAGCTGAGTGTTGATCGTAGAGGTTCACTACAGCTGAGTGTTGATCATAGAGGTTCACTGCAGATGAGTGTTGATCATGGAGAGGTTCACTGCAGATGAGTGTTGATCGTAGAGGTTCACTACAGCTGAGTGTTGATCATAGAGGTTCACTGCAGATGAGTGTTGATCGTAGAGGTTCACTACAGCTGAGTGTTGATCAGAGAGGTTCACTACAGCTGAGTGTTGATCGTAGAGGTTCACTGCAGATGAGTGTTGATCATGGAGAGGTTCACTACAGCTGAGTGTTGATCGTAGAGGTTCACTACAGCTGAGTGTTGATCGTAGAGGTTCACTGCAGCTGAGTGTTGATCATAGAGGTTCACTACAGCTGAGTGTTGATCAGAGAGGTTCACTACAGCTGAGTGTTGATCATAGAGGTTCACTGCAGATGAGTGTTGATCATAGAGGTTCACTGCAGATGAGTGTTGATCATAGAGGTTCACTACAGATGAGTGTTGATCATAGAGGTTCACTACAGCTGAGTGTTGATCATAGAGGTTCACTGCAGATGAGTGTTGATCATAGAGGTTCACTACAGATGAGTGTTGATCATAGAGGTTCACTGCAGATGAGTGTTGATCATAGAGGTTCACTGCAGATGAGTGTTGATCATAGAGGTTCACTACAGCTGAGTGTTGATCAGAGAGGTTCACTACAGCTGAGTGTTGATCGTAGAGGTTCACTGCAGCTGAGTGTTGATCATAGAGGTTCACTACAGCTGAGTGTTGATCAGAGAGGTTCACTACAGATGAGTGTTGATCATAGAGGTTCACTACAGCTGAGTGTTGATCATAGAGGTTCACTACAGCTGAGTGTTGATCATAGAGGTTCACTGCAGATGAGTGTTGATCATAGAGGTTCACTACAGCTGAGTGTTGATCGTAGAGGTTCACTACAGCTGAGTGTTGATCAGAGAGGTTCACTACAGCTGAGTGTTGATCGTAGAGGTTCACTGCAGCTGAGTGTTGATCATAGAGGTTCACTACAGCTGAGTGTTGATCAGAGAGGTTCACTACAGCTGAGTGTTGATCGTAGAGGTTCACTACAGCTGAGTGTTGATCAGAGAGGTTCACTACAGCTGAGTGTTGATCGTAGAGGTTCACTGCAGATGAGTGTTGATCATGGAGAGGTTCACTACAGCTGAGTGTTGATCATGGAGAGGTTCACTACAGCTGAGTGTTGATCGTAGAGGTTCACTACAGTTGTGTGTTGATCAGAGAGGTTCACTACAGCTGAGTGTTGATCGTAGAGGTTCACTACAGTTGTGTGTTGATCGTAGAGGTTCACTACAGTTGTGTGTTGATCGTAGAGGTTCACTACAGTTGTGTGTTGATCGTAGAGGTTCACTACAGTTGTGTGTTGATCAGAGACGTTCACTGCAGCTGAGTGTTGATCATAGAGAGGTTCACTACAGCTGAATGTTGATCATAGACGTTCACTACAGCTGAGTGTTGATAATGGAGAGGTTCACTACAGTTGTGTGTTGGTGTTAACACTAACCCTTCCTTGTTGTTCTTCAGGTACTTCCTGGACGACTGTAAGGCTCTGGTGTTCGTGGTGGACAGCACTGATCGTGTTCGGATGCACGAGGCTCAGAAAGTGTTGAAGAAGGTTCTGTGTGATGAGAAGTTACGAGGGATTCCTCTGATGGTTCTGGCCAACAAGAAGGATCTGCCAGACTCCATGACCATCCGAGAGGTACTACAGGAACCCTACATCTTAAAGTGCTCAAAAATATCATGAGCTTTGAAGAAGAGTTGTTTGACGTTTCCTCTGAAAATCCCCCCCCCCCCCCCCCCACTCCCCGTCAGATTTCCAACCAGCTGGACCTGGACTCTCACAACGAGCGGCTGTGGGAGGTTCAGGCCTGCAGCGCTCTGAAGGGACTAGGACTCCAGCAGGCCTTCATCTCTGTGCATAAGATGATCAAGAAGAGCTGAGAGTAGGAGGAGGAGAGGAGGAGAGGAAGGAGGAGAGGAAGGAGGAGAGGAGAGGAGGAGAGGAAGGAGGAGAGGAAGGAGTGGAAGGAGGAGGGAGGAGGGAGGAGGAGAGGAAGGAGGGAGGAGGAGAGGAGGAGGGGACAACATCTGATATTTTTACTGAAATAAATTTAAGTGTTTTGTTCTTTAAACGTTTTGGTACATTTTCCAATAATTATTAATTTATAACAAACAGCCAATCAAAGTGCCCGACAAGTGTCTGTGATACCAATAAAATAGTTTATTCATGAGTGAGTGTTTTGATCAATGGAAAGTTCTAAATCATTCAGATCTCTACATCTTCTTCCTGTTAACATGGTCATCCACTTGGAGCGCGTGCAGACTCTTGAGGGAAATCCATGATTGTATCAGCAGCAGGACCGGGACCAGGACCCAGAGCCCATTAAAAAAGACAAGGTAGACCCACAGGTGCAGCCAGCTGGACGTGTTCAGACTGGGACTGCCCACAAGCCACTCAGGAGCAAAGGTCATCCAGCCGCCATAAAGCTCGCACACGCTCAGAGTGATCTGCAGGAAGTGTCTGAATAAATACAGTGAAACATACTGTAACTATGAGATGAGATGAGATGAGATTCAACTTTATTGTCATTACACATATACAAGTATAGAGTAACGAAATGAGGTTTGGCATCTCACCAGAAGTGCAAATAAGCAGAAAGTGCAAGAGTCTGTGCTATGTACAGTAATTGAGTGCAAGAGTCTGTGCTATGTACAGTAATTGAGTGCAAGAGTCTGTGCTATGTTCAGTAAGTCTGTGCTATGTACAGTAATTGCAAAATTTACAGATGTTGACAAAAAAAGTGAATTATGAGGTATATCTGGATGGCTGAACTATACGTGTGTGTGTGTGTGTGTGTGTGTGTGTGTGTGTGTGTGTGTGTGTATAACCTGTAGTATCTCTCCTGTAGTATTGCGTGTATCAGCAGCACACCAATCACAGAGTCCAGGAACACAGTCAGAAGTTCAATTGAGACGATTGTTGGATCAGAAGTCAGCCAACGACTGTCTGCTCTGCTGTACTCTCTCCCTGAACACAGACAGGTACAGACAGACAGGTACAGACAGAGAGATGGACAAACAGGTGCAGACAGGTACAGACAGAGAGACAGACAGGTACAGACAGACAGGTAGAGACAGAGAGAGACAGACAGACAGGTACAGACAGACAAGTAGAGACAGAGAGAGAGACAGGTAGAGACAGGTAGAGACAGACAGACAGGTACAGACAGAGAGACGGACAGACAGGTAGAGACAGACAGGTACAGACAGTGAGACAGGTCAGGTTGCACTATGAACTTGAAGGATTTCTGTTGTCAAAGTTTCAGGTAAACAAACTCACAAAGTTCAGCTAGCGGACCTTCAGACGTCTCCACCGTCCCAACCAGAGACATGTAAACAAAGGGACCCTCCTTCATAAACAAATAACCAGAGACATGTAAACAAAGGGACCCTCCTTCATAAACAAATAACCAGAGACATGTAAACAAAGGGACCGTCCTTCATAAACAAATAACCAGAGACATGTAAACAAAGGGACCGTCCTTCATAAACAAATAACCAGAGACATGTAAACAAAGGGACCGTCCTTCATAAACAAATAACCAGAGACATGTAAACAAAGGGACCCTCCTTCATAAACAAATAACCAGAGACATGTAAACAAAGGGACCGTCCTTCATAAACAAATAACCAGAGACATGTAAACAAAGGGACCCTCCTTCATAAACAAATAACCAGAGACATGTAAACAAAGGGACCCTCATATATGAGTAAACATAATCAAACAAAAGAAACGCAGACAGTTTAAATCAAATTACAGACAATTAAAAAGATGTATTTGAAGAATAAAAGGTATGAATGCTGATTGGTCGTACCAGTGTCAGGTGGACAATGACATCATAGAAAAGCCAGAGCAGGATCCACTTATCCACTGAAGAGCTCTGTCTACCTAACCTGAACATTAGTAATACAGCTGCTATCATTTGGATGCTACATGCTAACAGAGAGCAGACAGACACTGGAGAGACGCCAGGGGGCATCACTGAGTCCATCCTCTTGTCAGAGAAGAAGAAGAAAAGAAAAAGAAGGGGCTGTAGGAGTAGAAGACGTAGTATTTGTCACTCTGGAAGGTAGCTCCTTTTAAAAAGTTCTCTGCTGGATGTAGAAACAGGACCAGGAATGCGGACTGACACTAAAGACCCCACCCCCTGCCTCAATTTATTGGTTGTGTTGGCTCTGAGCCACACCCCTTTACCACCATTTGCCAACTGAGGTGGACACCCCACTCCCTGACCCCGCCTCCACCAGAGACAGCAGAGTGTACCAAATTCCCCTTTGAAAAGAAATATGATCCATATGTGTGAACATATTCTTTCTCTATGGCACCTGAAGAGTCAAAATCCCGTCAAATATCATCAGAGAGACTAAACTGTCAATGACTTGAATCAGCTGAAGCCCAGGAGGACAAGAGAGTTAATGTCAGAGATCAACCAGCAGGAGGCGCCACACTCCACACTGAGACAAGAAACTGATGTGCTAAGAACCCAAACCCATATAAACATGGATCCTGAAACTGTCTGAAGACGGTTTAACAGTTCCTTTATTCTGCAATACCACCTGAACAGGTGTGTGTCAAGCACTTCCAAGCAATTCCAAAAGCTGAAAACTTTTGGTTTTCAGCGCCACATAAAGAAAAAAACAAAGAAAAAGCAGCAAATAAAGTGTAAAGGGGGGGCTAACCCTCACATTGAGGAACACAAAAAAAAATCAGACAAAATGTGAGGTTCAATAAAGAGTCAGAAAATAAATGTGGTAAAACAAGACTTTATTATGTTATGTTCATGTGATTCACACACACAGCTGTAAGGTGATTGACAGGTAACAAGCGTCATACAGGAAATGTTCTTTGGCACCACAAAGTGTTAAAAATGTCAAAATTTAAGAGTGACAGCTAACAAAAGTTTTAAATTTCAATTTATATTCGACACAAAAAACAGCATACACCACCACTTTAACTCTTATATACCATCACTTTAACTCTTATATACCATCACTTTAACTCTTATATACCATCGCTTTAACTCTTATATACCATCACTTTAACTCTTATATACCATCACTTTAACTCTTATACACCACCACTTTAACTCTTATATACCATCACTTTAACTCTTATATACCATCACTTTAACTCTTATATACCATCACTTTAACTCTTATATACCATCGCTTTAACTCTTATATACCATCGCTTTAACTCTTATATACCATCGCTTTAACTCTTATATACCATCACTTTAACTCTTATATACCATCACAAACTGTGTATGTTTGGGACTTCGTAAAGGAAACTTAAGAGAACCTTAGAGGAGAACCCAAGTGGAATGTTGCAGGAACCTTTGGGGAATCTTAGAGGAACATATAAGGAACTGTAAGGGAACCCTTTATTGATGCATAACCCTAAGCAACCATAGTTGGATCTTAAAAGATGCTATGAGGAGCCATTCCTTTGAGGATCTCTGTAGGAGAATGTTTGAGAAACATCAATAGATAGTCAAAGGAACCTTAAAAGGAACGTTTTGTTTAGCACCATGTTAGTAGGTTCTTTGTGGGTAGAATGATTGACAGGTTCAGATGGTCATTTGGGTTCCATGTTTCCTTGTTCCATGTTGCATATTAACCAGCAGATTATTCGTTATCATGTTTATAAGAGATCAAAGAATACAACAATATTAATGAGAAAAATGTCCTGTAAAAAACACATATCTCCACAGTTTTATTTGTATCAGTTTGTCATTGAATGCTAACATTCTCCAACTTCATAAAAAACTTTGCACCTACAATCTAAAATCAGCCGTTTGTGTTGGTTCTGTAGGAGTTTAAACTTTGTAGATATGTGGTTTTCAGAGTGACGTGTTAATCAGATAAGAATATTTAATATATTTGTGTGAGGGATTATCAATATCATCATCATTAACAAAACAGCCACAGACCTTAAAGGAACAAATCAGCAACAGCTGAAATGTTCTTTAATCTGTTTGTTCTTAATGAAGACTTGTGAGTGTTTAGGATTCATCCTCTCTCTCCTCCTTTGCTCCTTCCTTCTCTCCTTTCTCCTCCTGAGGCAGGGTGGAGGACAGGGCGTACTCCTGACTGACCTCCTCTGAAACCACGGACAGCTCCGCCTCCACACCGGTCACCTCCTCGCCTCCCTCCTCCTGTTTCTCCTCCTGCTCAACAGGAGCCAGCTGGGCATGGACCTCAGTGAAGGGGACTTCCTGGTCAGTGCTGCCCATTGGGGAGAGCTGGATGTCAGCCTCAGTGAGGACAGACTCCCCGGTCTGAATGGAGATGTCGGGGGTCTGGATGGAGATGTCGGGGGTCTGGATGGAGGTGTCGGGGGTCTGGATGGAGGTGTCGGGGGTCTGGATGGAGGTGTCAGGGGGCTGAGAGTCGGAGCTGCTGCGAGGCTGAAAACATGGAGAGTTTAAAGTCAGTAGTCAGAGGAAGTGGAAAAATTCAGAAACTGTGGAACAATAAGGGATCTCAACTGGACAGAATCTTACTGGAACCTTTATTAACCTCAGGGGAAGTTTTTTTCAAACCATGGGGAACTTTAAAGGATGCTTTGTGGAACCTTAAACCCTATGGTACCCTTAGAGGAACCTTCATGAGCAGTCAGAGAAGATGTAGAACAATCATAGGGGAACCTTGGAGGAAATTCTGGGGAAACCTAAGGGGGTGATTTTTGAACTCATCAGGAATGGGGAAATATCATTGGTGATGACAGTAAACATCAGGAAAAGTAAGGAAAACTATAGAGTAACATCATTGGAACCTGTAGGAAATGTGCGATTTAAACAAACTTAAAGGGAATTATGTTAAAAACCAAAATAAATGTTAGAGTAAACTTTGTGGAACCCCTAGAACATATTGTTCCTTCAAGGAGCTGAGAACATCTGATCACATTCACAGTAACAGAATAATAACAGAAGGCAGTACCTTCCTGATGTTGAAGGTCAAAGGAGAAACCTTCAGACTAGAGGTTTTCTGTTTGATCTTCTCTCGCTGCTCCTGAGAAACAATCTTTGTTCCGATCTTCGTCATCTTCTTCTCAATGTTCTGCCTTGAAAATGCCTTCTTCAGACTGTCCACCTGCAGAAAGAGAGAGTTCAACCTGTCTGTCTGAGAACCTGTCTGTCTGAACATATGAATCTGCTTTGTTACCTTCTTCAGACTCGAGCGTTTCAGTTTTTCGGCTCTGGATTTCTCCATGTTCTCCAGATCATGAGGCCAAAACTCTTCCTCCTCGAGCTCTGCCTCCAGTCCAACATCCTCATCTGATGATAGGTCAATGGTCTGGAGCCCGCTCTCCTGGGAACGGTTTCCATCGACAACACCTGGAACCAATTCAATGCCTTCTTCTATAATCTCATCCCGGGGGAACGGAGGAGGATCCTTGACGAAAACAGTGGCGGGGATCTCGTTTTCCTCCTGAGGAAGATGAGAACATCCCGGTATAGGGTACACAGTACAATTACTGTAGTTTATGCAGTTACTGTAGTTTACGCAGTTAAGACAGTACAGTTACTGCACTAGAGTACAGTTGCTGTAGTTTATACAATACAGTTACTGTAGTTTACAGAGTACAGTTACTGTGTTTTATACAGTTCATACAGAACAGCAATTGTGGTTTTAGACTGCCACTTTTGTGTTGTCTGAAAAAGTCACCTTAAACTGAAATTCCCATAACTTCATTGATTAGTTGTTCATAGTTGTGCATACCTGGAAGATTAGAACTTTGAAGTTGTTTCGGTTTATCAGGTGGGCGTGATTTGCCTCAAGCTTCTTCACCTGAACACCCTGACGCTCCATCTTATCCCGAACCTGCAGACAAGAACCCAGGTGTGATTGATTTCAGTCTACCAGTCAGGTGTGATTGATTTCAGTCTATCTGACAGGTGTGATTGATTTCAGTCTATCTGACAGGTGTGATTGATTTCAGTCTATCTGACAGGTGTGATTGATTTCAGTCTACCAGTCAGGTGTGATTGATTTCAGTGTACCTGACAGGTGTGATTGAGTTCAGTGTACCTGACGGGTGTGATTGATTTCAGTCTACCAGTCAGGTGTGATTGATTTCAGTCTACCAGTCAGGTGTGATTGATTTCAGTGTACCTGACAGGTGTGATTGAGTTCAGTGTACCTGACGGGTGTGATTGATTTCAGTCTACCAGTCAGGTGTGATTGATTTCAGTGTACCTGACAGGTGTGATTGATTTCAGTCTACCAGTCAGGTGTGATTGATTTCAGTGTACCTGACAGGTGTGATTGATTTCAGTCTACCAGTCAGGTGTGATTGATTTCAGTGTACCTGACAGGTGTGATTGATTTCAGTCTATCTGACAGGTGTTTTCAGGTGTGAGCTGTGTACCTCCTTCATGGTGACTGACAGTTTGCGACTCTTGTCCAGAAGTTTGCTGACAGTGTTCGACGTGTGACTGTGGCTCTTTGATAGTTTGGTCATATCAGCCTGGATCCCTCTGACCACGCCCTCCATCTCCACCTGATGCACCTAAACACAACAACCAATGAGATATCAGCCTGGATCCCTCTGACCACGCCCTCCATCTCCACCTAAACACAACAACCAATGAGATATCAGCCTGGATCCCTCTGACCACGCCCTCCATCTCTACCTGATAATGTTTGAGGTAAGGATGTGACAGTCTTGTGAAACGTTTTGTGTCTCTCCAGGTAGTGAGTCTGTTTCTTGTCTGGTTTAGTCTGGATTAATCTAGATTAGTCTAGTCTAGTTTATTCTGGACGTGGTCTTGATGTGGTCTGGACGTGGTCTTGATGTGGTCTGACCCTGTCTGATGGAAGACCTGTTCTAACGTTTCATTCAGGAAGTCTAACTCTTTCAAATTTTAAAAGGTTTTTAATGTTTGTTGTAACTAAACCTGACCCCTCCCCCTTTCACCTCCCAATCCCCCCTTCCCAACCCTAATCCTGTTTCAGCTGAAGCTTCTGAATGTTTCAAACATTTCAGGAATGTTTTCTCACTGCCGAGTCAAACATCTGTGAAGCAGCTTCACGTGAGAGTTAAACACAGACTCAGGGAGGCTGAAGAGAGGAGAAGAAGAAGAAGAAGAGTTTCTGAAATATAAAGAAAGACAAATTAAAA